CTGAGCAGACGAGTGAGAGCCATCTAGAGCAAAGCCTTCAAATCCTTCGTCGTTCCGTTTACTAATGCCTGAGTGACAAGAGCCAGGCCAACCGTGACCTTAGGGAGGTTATCGAGCGGGGCAAAGCTATAGGACGCGACACTGATAAAGTCGCGGCCCTCAAGCGCAGGATTGCCGAGCTGGAGGGTCGGCACCCCTCTAGAAGTGAACTGTCACTTCCTCCCTATCTACAATCACAGCCGACCCCTCAGATCGTATATCACGCTTCACCCCTCTCTCTTGACATTTTACGAGAACCCGCGCCAAAGAAAATCAAGGTTCTGCAGCTCAGACTTTACGATGGGAGCTCGGACCCTGATTCCCACATTGGCCTCTACACCTCATGGATGGACCTGCACGGAGCCACATATGCTCTGCGTTGCCGCATGTTCTCCCTGACACTAGGACCAAAGGCACAAAGGTGGTATCACTCTCTCTATCCTCATTCCATCTCCACCTGGGGGCAGCTCAGGTCGGCGTTCCGATCACACTTCATCGGATTGCAGATCAAACTCGCCCCCAAGGAGTCCATTGCCAACATCATCCATGGCGAGGATGAGAGCTTGAAGGATTACATCACTCGGTTTAACGACTGAGTCCAAAACATGGAGCGATGCCACTCTGATGCGCTACTGATCACCGCTCAGGGCGGTCTGAGGCCAAAGACGCTGATCAAGTGGTCCTTATGTCAGAACAAGTCGACCACTTACCAAGAATTCCTCACTCGAGCCCAAGACTACATAATGGCGGAGGAGACTTCGTCGATCCCCACGTTCGATGCCGCGCCGACAAAGGGCAAGGCTAAAGATGAAAAATCTGGGAAGTCAAGTAAGTCGTTCGCCGAGGTCCGAGCTCTGCGGAAGCAGAGATCCATAGAGCTGAAGGAGAACTATCAGTACGTCTTTTCCGTGGGTGCAGCCGCGGTCTACGAAGAAATCAAGGCAAAGGGGCTACAGCCAGACCCGAAGCCAATGTTCACCGACAAGAACAAGGTGGACAAGTCCCGGTACTGTACCTATCACAAGGCGCACGGGCACAACACCGACCAGTGTCGGAACTTGACCTCGGCGCTGCTCAAATTGATTGACGATCCACAACTCAAGAAATTCACCCTTTCCGGTGACAAGAGAAAGAAGGGAGGCCGCTTCGGGGACGGCCTCGACAGTGATGAAGATACCGACGTGAACCCTCGGAGGAAGAAGTTGCAGCAGGTTGGCCCTAATGAGATCATGACTTCCTGCTCCGCCCACCAGCATGAGGTTGGTACCTCCAGGGGCAGAAAAAGAGATCGGTCCTCACAGCCAGGGGCCGACCATATTGACTATCCCCCTCGGCGCGTCAATACAAGCCGAGGCGAATCCCTTCTTTCGAGGAGGCAGACCAAGGCCTATGCCCGGCAAGCCTATTACGCCGGGCAGAGAGTGATGCATGTCGATAGCAGGCCGGCGTCGGAGCCGACACCCAACAAAATCTCCTTCACCGATGAGGACGCTTTCCTATTCGACCACCCCGACTCTGACGTCTGGTGATCACGGCTCCGATAATGGCGATAAAGATCCATCGCATCATGGTTGACACCGGAGCCTACGCGAGCATTCTCTACTACAGCACCTTCAAAAATATGGGAATCGACGTGAAGGACGTACAACCCTGTCGCGAGCGAATTCAGGGTTTCAACGGATAAACAACGACCCCCGTCAGCCAAGTCACGCTACCGATCAAGTTTGGGGAGAAGGGGCAGCCCACGAGGACAATCCTCGAAACTTTCAAGATCGTGAACTGCCCAAGCAAGTACAATGCCATCTTGGGCAGAACGACACTTTACAAACTGAGGGGCGTCGTCTCTATCTACCACTATTCCATCAAGTTCCCGACCTCGGACGGGGAGGGAACTCACCGTGGAGATCAAAGAGAGGCTCGAGAATGCATCCTAACTATCCCGAGGACGGAGATAGATTTGGCCAACTCCATCCCCTGTGCCGAGACGGAGGAGGCCGAGCCGGCAGTCACATCGAGGCCGACACACGACGGTTCGAGAGGCGACCACATGCTGGGAGACCAGACAGGTCCGCACCTCTTTACTGCGTTAAGTGTCGGCCTGATTGATGGGGGACCCGAGGCGGAGATAGAGACGGCCAGCGACCAAAACAATCTAAACGCGAACGCCGAACCGGTTCACCCCGACCGGGAAGACGACCGCGTGCTGGAAAGCCAGACAGGTCCGCTCCCCTCGGCTGGCGGTAATGCCGGCCAGGCAGAAGAAGAGTCCGGAGCCGACCTGGACCTGGATAGAGGGAGAAGAGCAGGCAAAGAGCCGGTCAAAGAAGAAGACGAGCTCGACCCCCGAACCCAATACAAAGAGAAGCGGGGGACAAAGAGGGCCGAGCCCATGGATGAAGTTGAAATCATCTTCATCGATGAAGAAACCTGTCAAAAACAACTCAGAATCGGGAGCAGGCTGCCGGGGCCACTAAAAGCCGAGCTGACTAAATTCTTTTGGGAAAACGCGGACGTCTTCGCGTGGACCCATGAAGACATGGTCGGCATTGACCCACGGGTTGCCTGCCACCGGCTGTAGGTCGACCCCACGGTCAAGCCGGTCGTGCAAAAAAGAAGGAAGCTCGGCCCAGACTGACAACAAGCCCTTGAAGAGGAGGTGACCAAGCTCAAAGATAACGAGTACATCCGCGAAGTCCGGTACCCGATCTGAACAAGGCATGCCCTAAAGACAGCTACCCTCTTCCTCACATCGACTACATGGCCGACGCCACCTCGGGGCACGAGCTAATGAGTTTCATGGATGCATACTCCGGCTATAATCAAATCCCGATGCACCCGGATGATGAAGGACATACTTCTTTCTACTCGGCACGCAGGCTCTATTGCTACACGATGATGCCATTTTGGCTGAAGAATGTCAGGGCCACCTACCAGCGCCTAGTCAACAAGATGTTTGCTAGTTTGATAGGTGTGTGTATGGAAGTGTATGTAGATGACATGTTAGTCAAATCCGTGCAAGCGTCTGACCATGTAAACGATCTTAATAAAATGTTTTCTATTTTGCGTGATTATAACATGAAGTTAAACCCCAAAAAATGTACTTTTGGCGTCAGCTCCGGGAAATTTTTGGGTTACATCTTTAGCCAGCGCAGCATCAACGCGAATCCCGAAAAAATTCGAGCAGTCCAGGACCTTCGGCCGCCAACCTCGATCAAGGGAGTCCAGAGTCTAACCGGCCATTTTGCCGCATTGAGCCGATTCATCTCCAAATCAACCGATCGTTGCAAACCTTTCTTCGATGCCATCAAGAAAAATCACAAGTTCGAGTGGACTCCGGACTGCCAAAAAGCATTAGAGGCCATCAAGGAGACCCTTAGTCGATCTCCGACGATGCAGAAGCCCCGCCAGGCGAGATGCTCTATCTGTACTTGGGAATATCCAATGTGGCTGTAAGTGCCGCCCTGATCCAGGAGGAGGACTCAAGCCAATACGCGGTCTACTATGTAAGCAAGGCACTCCATGATGCCGAGCTGCGGTACCCACCTATGGAAAAGCTCGCTTGCGCCCTAGCGACCGCAGCCCGGAAACTGAGACCGTACTTCTTGGAGTACTCGATCACTGTCCTCACAGCCTACCCCCTTAGATAGATCCTACACCGACCTGACACTTCTGGTCGGATGGTGAAATGGGTAGTGGAGTTGGGACAGTACGATATCCATTACCGACCCCGAACAACAATGAAGGGGCAGGTATTATCGGACTTCATAGCCGAATTCACGCCGGGAGTCGAGGAAGCGAAGGACGAGGAGCCTTGGGTGATGTACGTGGATGGGTCCTCCACTGCCGGACGAGCAGGCGGAGGGGTCGTCCTCGTGGATCCCCAAAAGAAACTCTTCTGTCATTCGATCCAGTACCTCTTCCTGGCGACCAACAACGAGGCCGAATATGAGTCATTGCTATCCGGGCTCGCCCTGGCCGAGGCCATGAACCTGACCGACCTCATCAGATTTATATTAATATAAATCTGATTTTAGTATATATATTTAGAAAAATGCTACATGTACATAATAAATGTATATAGAGGTGTACATCATACTCACATGAAGTGGGGTCCAGTTGATTTTTTATTTGAGAAATGCTATAGGTACATAATATTGTACATTGTACATAGAGGTGTACATAAAACTCACATTGAGTGGGTCCTACCAAAAATAAAAAATCAAATGGACCTCACTCCATATGAGTGTTATGTACACCTCTAGTACATTTATTATGTACTTGTAGCATTTTTTTTTTTATTTTTGGTAGGACCCACTTAATGTGAGTGTTATGTATATCTTTATGTACACTATTATGTACTTATATCATCTGAACTCGAAATCTAGTTCCTCTTCTTCTTAAATGTAGCTAACGAACCCTACTACTCGACCATGCTTGCCGGGTCAGATTTCGGGATAAATCCATTTTTCACGGGGCTTTCGACCTGCACACATCAAACAAGAAGAAAAACGTAGAAAATCAACAAAATACACGAAAAACACATAAAAACCAAAATAGAGCAAAACACATAATAAACTACAAAACAAACTAAAAACTAACGAAAAGACCTAGTATGGGGGAAAAAGAAAGACAAAACAAATACGCAACAGTCCCGCTCTCCTGCCCACAGTGGGCATGAATTAATATGCCCACTGATCAATGGCAGAAGATTAGCATACCATACGTGGTGGTTATGTAATTGAAAAATCATGAGATCTTGACACGTGACTAGTGGATACGCCCACAGTGGGTAGTTGATCATTTTTCATTGCTCCTATAAAGAATAATTTCTTGCAGGAGATTTTGTGTTACCTACAAAATGGACTGGTTCTCGTAGTGGTCGGTAGTAGAAACCTAGGATTGTTTAGTGTCTAAATTGCTACTTGCTAAATGACCCTTGCTATCTCATCACCTTCAGATTTATGGCTAGCATGTACTATTTGATTCTAAAGGATTTTATGAGTGTAAAGTTTGTCTCAGGTTTTGACTTCTCAGGTTGCATACTATCACAATTCTAGCTTCACTCGTGTTTGTTTTAGCATTTTTTGTTTTTGTATTAAAACTGATTAAGTATATCCTTCATCATGAAGCTCGGAACTGGACTCAGCATAATGATTTCAAAAAGGAACCCGTCTTTGTTCACTACATTCGCTCTGCTCTCTTGTGGATATGTGATGAGCTCTTATAAAGAGGTCGAATGATGAGCATCACTTCCACTCCATTTCCTTCATAATTATGCCCTTCTATCTTATAATATGTGTTGAAATTTCATGTTACTTATCTTTCAGATCAGATCAAATGTTTTGCATACACTAAATCGTGCACGATTCACTGTGTCTGTAGAATCTTTCCTGAGTACAGGTGTGATGGATGCATTGTTTTTGTTTTTTCATCGCTCTTTCAATTGCTCCTGTTTATTTCATTTTTTGTGGTACCAGCTGTAAAAAAATTATCTAATTGGTATATGAGGAAGGAAGACTAGATATAAAGAAAGGTAGAAAGGAATTGTTAGCAAAGAGTGACATTTATTAACAAGGAAACGTGCCAATTGGAGGAGAATATGTTTACTACTTTTTAGTGTAAACTTTTGGAAGACTAGAGGCTGCTGTAAGATAATATTTGTAGATACATAGTTGGGAACAAAAAAATTGAAGATATATTAAGAGTCAAGTGAATTAAGAACGAGACTTTGAAAGCCGCGTAAAGGTAGGTGCAACAGATGCATATAAACATACAGTTTCAAATACTTTAAATGAATGAGCATTATGTTTTAGACAAAGGAAGCTATTAGTTTAAGTAATTTAAAATACTATTACCATAATACCCTAGCAAAGATGTTAATGTATGCATGTAGGAACTGCATCTGCTCCAATAAAAAGATAGAGATGCACACTTGGATTTCTCAGCTTAAGTCAATGATTGACTGGTATTTGGAGCTTTAAAATTAAATAGATTAACTTGAGCTTATTGCTTTCACGCCTCCACGGACAATTCAGTTCAATGGCGTGTATATTGGTTGAAAGAGATCTCTCTTCATCGCTAGAAATAATTTTAAATGATGGGAATGTGAATGGAAGATCTTGTTGACTTTTGTATTGATCCACAGAAGTCTTCCATCGTCAACACTTGATTGAGTTTATGAGAATGGGTGGTTTTTCTTAATTTTTTCGAGGATAATGGTATTGAAGGTGATTTATTAAGGTAGTCGGATTTCGTGAAAGACTGTTTATAATTCTTGTTGACTAAAGAAATCCACGCGAAATTAAAGGAGTTTCTTTCCATATTTCATAGAAGTATCTATGTTCTATTGGTCAAGTATATTGAATTCTTGAGAAAACAATAATTTCACTAAGTGGGTGTAGTTGAAATGATAATGGTTATGTAGATTTGCCATTAAATAGGAAATGGAACAATAGGATAAGATTGCCTGTTCTCCAAGATTGATTCAGATAGCCATGAGGGTGGTCTAGGAACATTGCAAAGAGAAGGTGTTTGGACACTTGATGCACCTAATTTATAGTAAACCTAAAGTGGAAGTGAAAGATGCATAGAAAAGTCTATACACATCTGGGAATTAGAGGAGCTGTTTGAGTGAGTTGGTAACTATGGTGATGGTTTCTAATAGAGAGAATTTATATGTACTTTTACTAACCGACTGATCAGAAAACTATGTGCCTTACTTTCCCATTAAGTTGGAGACACAGTGGAAAATGAATTCTTATGCATCACTGAACAAAGAAATATTAGCTCATGCTGACTCCTCTCCCTCTCAGCGAAAATTCCCAGTTTGAAAGAGGGAAATTTAAAGGAAAACATTTTCAGTTCGCCTTGGAAAACCACAGACCTATTGTTCTTGGTACATCTCTCTTTATCTCTAACATGCACATACAAAATCCTTTTACAGAAGGCATCCACACGTGGTTTTGTTTTACTATAGTTGAGATTGGTAGTAACTAAATTCTGATCTTCTGCAGGACCACGATTTAAAGATGCATTCCAAGATCCCAATTCATATCTTACTTTGGAACCAATTTTTGAGGTATGATCCTGTCTTTGTAAGATGACACTCACAAGTCACAAGTCAAGCTCTATACCTCGCTTAATTCTTCATGTGTGCTATTAATAGACTTTGCGCCTGCATGCCAGATCTCTTATTGTGGCTTATAAGTTTATCTTAATTTTTCTCAATGACAGCAAGAACGATATATCGTGACCTGTAATCCTTCTAAATGAAAAATCTATGCTTTGTTCAAAGATCAATCAAAGTCTGATGATATACTAAAAGCAGCTTTTCATGTAAGATTGTAGACCTGTTGTTGTTTTATGTTCACAACCATATTTCGTGCTTCTTCCAAATTACCACGATTTGTTACAGGCTCATGTGCTTCTTCATATCATTTGTTCCTCCAATCAGAATTCACCCAAATCTAGAATACGAGATCATGATCTTTCAGTTGTATCCCCTAAGTTTGGTGATCTTAAGTCTCATATTGCAGAATCATACAAAATGGTTTTAGCTCTATATGGGCCTTTCAAAAACAAAGCTAAAGAACAGGTAACATGAAACTATCCATTTAGGTTAATTTCCTGAATTGATTTATCTACTGACAGTTTGGGTGGGTAGCTATGTAGACATGTTGAGCTACCATTATTAGTCTTTTTTTAGTGAAATCTATTGTCTAATTTTGCCTGAACTGTGGTTGCGTACATGATTGGAAGTAACTTAAGTGGTTGGACTGCGAACTCACGATGACTCGGCTTAGTGGCTATAAAGCTGTTTAGTAATGACATTTGCCAAGTTTACTAGATTTTTATGTGCACATAACTAAAATGAGGACATATATCTCAAATTCTGCGCATGTATTTTATGTAGCTGTCAATTTTAATTGAAGTTGTTTTTTTTTAATTCTTGGTTCCCCTTTTGGGGATTTTTTTTGGGTCTTAGAAACTGTTGCTTCAGGAATTAAACTTTTGCGTAAAGGTTGCAGCATATGATATATTTTGGATTTTCTTATACTATCTGAAAAGTAAAATAACAAAACAAAGCTTCCATATTGGGAAAGTTAAGTACCTTGGATGAATACAAGGAGGGCACGTTACTGCTCATATTTATTATTATATCAATTTTACTTTTATTATAACTGTTACTAACTCGATTAGTTATGCATGGTGTGTGCTTTAAGTATGAGTTCCTTGTGGATCATTACCATCTTCATCTTGCTTATGATTTCAAGCAACTGAAAGTGTGTGTGTGTGTGTGTTTTTTTTTTCCCCTTTGTGTAGGGGTGGGTAATGTCGAAATCACTGCTTAACCCGGGCAGAGCTCGAGTATGTGAATTAGTGAGATGAGATGCACGCCGGTCACTAAATTTTCTTAGATATTGTCGAGACATTCATAACTCTTCCAGGTACTTTGAATTAACTCAAGTATTCTGGACCCTGATTTATGGCAGAGTGAGGAGATATGGTTTTTCTTACCTATATTACTGAGTTACTTTCTGCATCGGACACTGACAAGAGTTTTGTTGATGAGTTAAAAAGTGATGCATAAAGATCCTTGTAAGAGTCGTGGAGACATTAGTGATAAAGGTGGAGTTGTGTGCATGTTGTATCATATAGATGCCACTTTTGTTTATTTATCTGGTATGCACCACTTACTTGGCGCCATAGGCCTTTTTATAAAGTTATAATAATGTATATTGGCTAAAGTACATATATGAACATATATTAGTTTCTTCTGTCCCTTTATGCTAGGGAAATTTGTTTGTTACAAGTTTATTACAACAAGACTCTATTTCCACATATGCCATATATTTATCATGAAATATCTCTCTAGAGTCGAAGCAAAACAATTGGTAACTGAATACATTCCTTTGGAGGATGATATCTTGAATGGTTATGTGATTAATAATGGAAAGGAAAAGAACAACCGTATCTGCCCAAAAAAGACACCGATCAATTGCGTGAAATCTTCACATCACCGATTCATTGCGTGAAATCATTCTGGTGTGAGATCCTTCACCAGATGAAATGTGATTTCCTTCTTGCCTGTTCGACTGGAAAGCGTTCTTAAGTGAAGCAAACACGGTGTTCTCTGATTCTGCCTGTGATTGGAAGAAAAAGGAAAATAGATTTTTTTTCTTAATTTTTTCTCATTTTATACGAATGTGTTTTTTTGAAAAATTACTAAACTTTTTTATTTAAATTATTCAAAGTTTTTTATTTGAAATTTGCAAATCATGTCTCGAATAATGATATTTATTCAACACAATGGTGAGTAGAGCACAAGAGAAGGACTGTTTCAAAAACTATGCAGTTGGTAGTATTCTTGTTCAGTGAATTTCGCCATATGGTGCTGGACAAATTAAATGTAATTGAGATGCAAACGTGGAACTAAATACTTAGTGAAAGATGGATACCCGACTTTATCAATCAACGATGATAGCAACCTCTAATTCTACGTGGAGCTAAAATAAAGGAATTATGATTTCATGAGGTATTCTATTTGTACGGCAGTTGAAGTTACAACAAGCGCACTAAACAACAATAATAGTTCACCCTAGCGTTTCGTTCAAACTATTGATTCAACGTATAGACTATTCAATTCAATGCCAATTATTGATGCTGAGGGCAATTGTTCCATGGATTTTGCGCTGGAAGTTGCAAAAGCCATGGACGAAGAATATAAAATTACTGAAAATAATCAAATAAAATGTGCGGATCAGTCTAGGGATGAAGATGCTTTTGGTGAGCATAGTGCAACGGGGCATTCAATTGAAATAAAGATGTATTAAAGAAATTTATGAGTTTGCATGCAATAAAGCATCAATATCAATTTAAGGTTGAAAAGTCATGTTCCAGGCTAGATTATGTTAAATGCATTATGGATGAATGTGCTTGGTTTGTTAAGTCTTCCCGCATTGGCCAATGTTTAAGATAAGGAGTCCTGGAGGAAGTCATACATGTTTGCATGATCAACTCACTGGTGAACAACGACAGACTACTGCACAACTCCTAAGTCAATGCATAAAAAATAAGTTTACAAATCGGAAGGCATATTACACCCCAGAAGACATAATACATGACATGCTATTGAAGTATGAAATAAACTTGTCATATAAGAAGGCATGGAGGTCAAAGCGCAAAGCTGTTGATGAAGTCCAAGGCGGGGCAGACAAGTCTTATGAACATGTCAATCTATATTTACAATAGTTATGTAGATCCAATCTAGGAAGCGTTGTTAATTTGTGCACCGCTGAGGATAGTAGATTCAAGTATGTATTCATGTATCTGAATGCCACCATAAAAGGCTGAGAACATTGCAGGCTAATTGTTGTTGTCGATGGCCCATTTTTTAAGGCAATATATGGTGAGATTTCACTTACTACTTGCATGAAAGATGCAAATTCACATATCATGCCTCTCTCATTCAGTGTTGTGGACTCGGAGAACAATGATGCATATGTTTGGTTTTTTTAGAAAGTTGAAAGCTGCAATAGGAAGTAGGGAAAAGATGTGTATTGTATCAGATGGCCATGAAAAGTATTAAAATTGCTGTTACGAAGGTAAATAATGAAGAATAAGGGAGACTTGGGAAATTAGGGTTGAGAGAGAGATGGAGCAGCTTTGAGTGGTTAAGAAAATAGAAAAGACCATGTTTTGATCCGGTTCGATTCGGGATTTTTGCCCACTCTTAATGGAAAATGCAGAAAATGTCACAAAGAGAATTTAAACAAAATAGAGGGGACAAATTAAAAATAAAATTAGTAATAGCATGAACCAATTAATTGTTTTCCAACACAAGAAACAAACGCGCCGCACACACACACACACACACACATATATAATTTCTAGCAAAACAATTAATAAAACCTCATTTAATTTCCCTCCAAAAGACTTTACAAAAATATGTATACTTTATTATTTTTTTTTTCTTTTAATTCAAACCTTAAACCATTCACTAAGCAATGAACATTTGATACAACCAAAAAAAAAAAATATTTATAATAATATAATAATAATAAAACTATTTGAATTTTTCACTTTTTTCCGTTACAACCCAATATTATTTTAAAACTAGTAACTGAAATTTAATCAATGATTTTTTTAACATAATGGTTAATTAAAATGTAATCATGTTTTTCATTATTCTATTATATAAAAGTTGTTACTTTTTTTTTTAAGGGACAATAGAGATATTATATATAACGCATAAATGTGCAAAGTGCAGCCACCAGCTGATTACAAACAGCCAACAGCTGAATACAAGCAGCCAATAGCTAAAAAAGTGGGAGGACAGGTCAAAAGACCGCCTAGAACCGACCCCAACGGGGAAATACTCAAGAACACTAAAAAAACACACAACACAACAACAAGAAACACAACAACACAAAGACCCCCACATGGTAATACCCGAGTGTCAGACCCCCACAGAGTAATAAAAATGACACTCGGGTGCACAGAGGCCAACGGCCCAAACATTTACTAACACAAAACAACACAAACAACACAAAACAAGTACTACAAAAACAAAAACACGCAAAGCCCTTCCCCAACAATCGAATCGACCCAACCATCAGTGAACAATCGACACAAGAGAGATTCCAAGCCCGAAGAAACACTACCAAAACTGCGCAACCGTCTATACAATAGCCAACTCCAAGCCCGAACCAAACCCAGCATCGACCCGTTACCAACCGAGAAGAAAACAATCCGCCGCCACACCATTCCCGGCCTGAACCCGTCTAACACCACTAGACGAGCTCGGGATAGCCAGGTCCCCCGCCGCCTAACACCACTAGCCAACAGGGGAGGGTGAGGATGGCTCATTCCCTCAACCCCGGTCACCGCAACAGAACCGCCACAGCATCCGGAGTCCCGCCCCGACCCCCGACTCACACTCCTCCCAACACCCCTGCAAACCGCCGCCGACCAGAGCCCAAACCACCGGAAGCCCCGCCGTGAACAGCGAAGCCGACCTAGAGGACCTCCAAAATGGTAGCCAGCAGAAGATCGAAGCATCCCTCCTCCAATCGAAAATTGCCAGCGACCAAGGAGAGACCTTCCGACTACGACCGAGGGAATTCCACCCCACGACGCAAACTCGCCGGCAATTGAAGAAAGACCCCAATCTGGACACCTGCAGGGACATCAAACACTTGCGAAGCTAGGGGCGGGCCGAGCGGTCAGAAACGACCACTGGCCGGAATCTTCTCGTCACCGAGGAAGGCAATTAGATAGTAATTTGAGGGAGAAAGAGATGGATATTTGGGAGACGAAATTAGGGTAGAGAGAGCGTCGTCGAGGAGAAGTTTGATAACTAAGTTTAATAAAAGTTATTACTAAAATTAACCCCAACTATATTTCACATTAATTGATATATGGAAGTTCAATAAGTATATAAAATTTTTTTGAAAATTTTTTTCGTAGACTTTTTATTGCTCTTAAGATTTTTTTAATAAGCTAATTGCTTTTTCGATATAACCAAACCTCTAAAGCTAAATAATAATAATAATAATAATAATAATATATGATGATGATGATGATGATGATGATGATGAAGTTGGATACTTTTGTAATGTTCAGTTTTACCAATGACAAAATTTTTAAAATGTGATACTATTATGTAATTTTAATATTATATACATACATATAACTAATAATAATTTAAACATTTCTATATGTGCAAATGATCAAATATTAATGGGTATTAATTGCCCCTCCATTCCTTTTAGTGGACATAAATGGCACGCCCTAACATGTTTTACAATATTTAGTTATTTTTCACACATGTCATGATACAATATTTTATATTCACCTATCATTATTGACTAGTACAGTACTCGTGTACTTAAAAATAGTAATATTTGTACAATAACAATTTAAATTATTTATATTTTTATTGTGAAATTATGTATAATGGATATTCACCAGTTACCAAAGTAGTAATTAATTCAATATGACACCGGCATTTTTTCACTAAATTTATCAAAAATAAAAAATAGTATTTTTAATTATATTTTTTAAATTATATATTTCTAAAACAGATATTATTTACAACTCCATATATTTGATTCTAATTTTCTTAAAAAAAAATAAATTTTATTGTATTGTGATTATATTTTATATTTATAGAGTCGGTGTCTCCCGTTTATTAATAATTCAAGTTTTTTAATTCTCTATAGTTTAATAATTTAGAATATTAATTTACGCAGAAATGTATTATTTTTATAAATTTATGAACACAAAATTATTGTATTATATTTAATTATTATATGCCTTTATATTTTACATTTTAAACAACATAATAACAATTATCTCCTTATATAAAATATTTAAATCGAGAAATAATATTTTATAATATTTATTATAATTTATTTTATATAATTATTAATTTCCATATTTCATCCAATCTGTGGAAAAAATAGATTAAATTAATTATTTAATGGTGTATTGATGAATTAGATTTATTTTATAAAATAATTTATATTTTTATTTGATATTTTATTAATTTATTTGAAACAAAATTAATTTAATTTATAATGATAGATGAATTTATTTATATTTTATCTATGTAATATAGATGTCAAATCGAAGATCATTAAAATATGATTATTTTATTTTATTTTAAATAAAAATAAAATACAAAAAAAGGTTATAAAATTTTATATATAAAAAAGAATACTAATTCATGATAATTAATATATGAAATTAAATAAGAAAAGGTAAGAATTATATATGGTAACTTAAGAAAAAAAGAAAAACTAAAATAGTTTATGGTAATTTTCAAGTCTAAGAGTCAAAAGCAAACCTGTACATTTGTCTATACGAAGCACACGAGCTTGCCACTTATGCTCAACTAGAGATGTTTAATGGTCTTTGGCCCGACGGGCCGGCCCGTTTAGCCCGAAAAAAAAGGGTTAGGGCCTTTTATTCGTAGTCCGGTTAAATTCGGCCTTTTTAGGCCCCAAATCGTTTAGCCCGAAGCCCACTAGGGCTAGCAGTTTAACTTGGGTAGAATGTTGTATATGTTTTGAGAAAGGTAAGGACTAAGGAATATGTCTCAAGATTCCTTGTATATTACAATTTTGGTATTCTACTTCACATGTACTTATGAGCTATAACCGGTTATTACTATTTTAAAAAATAATTATTAACAAATTTTGTTATTCTATTTCACACCAAAATATCTAATAAAAAACAAACGAGACAAAGACATAACACATAGAATATAATGATAGAATATAAATTCAGCAGTATGATACAATATTATGAGACAAAGGCCTAACACATAAAATATAGTGATAGAATATAAATTCAGCAGTATGAAGCGTACCAAATAACTAGTAAAATGGTAGTTGTAAGTAATAGTTCGAACATTTTTTTTCGTTTGAGAAACAATATGTTATTTAAGGGTTTGTAATGTGTGTACATATGAAGTGTAGTTCAGCCGTTGAAAAAAATCGTTAACTAGACGTTGTAATCTTTTATTTTTTTATTTTTGATATATTATTATTATTATTATTATAGCCCGAAGCCCGCTAGGTTTAGGGTTAAATCCTTTTATTGGTAGCCCATTTAAATCCGGGCTTCTTAGGTCTGGACCCTTTAACCTGAAACCCGCTAGGACTAGCCGTTTAACATTTATAGGCTCAACGCACGATGTCATATATCTCAACACATTAAAATAAATTTTGAAACTTCCAACGAGGATATCATTTTTTATACAATTCAATAATAGGTCAATCTCTCGTAACTTTATATTGTCAAACAAATGTGAAATAAATATAACCGCTAAAATGAATACCATGCAAATCAAATCACAACTTCGCTATGGCCATTAGCCACTTTCAAGACCAGAAAACACCACCACAAGCCTACAATGCCACTCCCCTTAATTTAATTAAACCACAATACATGACTATTATTTTCCAACACATCAACACAAACCTCAGTCCCCATAACAGCAGATCCAAGGATGCCTCTGAAACTTTAAAATCTAAAAAAAAAGAAAAATGAAAAAAAATGAGATAATAGCTTCCTCCATACCAATTCTAATAGTCCCTCCTCAACATAAATCAAATAATCAATCATCTTAATTAAGAAACAACATACCCAGCCCTTCTAATTAACTTGATGATTATCGTTACTATGATTAAGAATGTGATTAGAACTAGCGTTGTTGTTGTTGTTTTTGGCTAGGTTGTGTTTGTTGTTGTGCATCCAGACCTTGAGCACACGACGCTTGACCCCAATCTCTTGGCAGAAGCGCTGCACAACGCTCTCCTCCTGCTTCTGTATTTTCCACCCAACTCTCTCCGCAAAACCCAACATCTTCTCTTTCTGCTCCTGAGTAAACTTCGTTCTGAACCTCTTCTTATTCCCCAATCCCACCTCATGGTGATGTTGTGGCCTGCACGAAATCTGATAGCCCTCGTAATTGTGCCCTAAAATCACCTTCCTCGGATAAAAATTGGTGTGCTCGTCCGTCTCCTTGCGGTGGAAGTTGCGGTGGCAGCCGCAGGCGGAGCACGTGAGGGCTCCGGCGCCGGCGCCGGCGGCCATAAATTCGCCGCAACCGTCTGTGGCGTTGCCGCCGATGGCGGCCGCGTGGTTTTTGAGGCACTCCCGGTAGCGGATGGGCTTCGATTGATGATTTTCGAGAGGAATTTGTGGGGCGGCAATAATTGGATGATGGGTTATGTGCCCATGGCCGTATGTGCTGTTTAGAGGGATTGGCATCTCGACTTCTTCACTATTTGGTACTTCCATATCCTCTTTTTTTTGTTTTTTATTATTATTTATAAATTGAAAATAAAATAAAATAAAATAAAATGTGTGTTGGTGTTGCTTGCTTGGAGACCAAAAGGGCGAAACAGAGACAGGATGAGGAAGGGATAAAATGATTAAATTTTGAAAGGTGATGGATGGGCTGACTTATACAAAGATTTCTTCTACTTGTATATTGTTTTAAATAATAGTCCCCACTCTTTCTTTATGAAGCAAAAATAATATTTTTTTTTTTTTTTAAGTACAGGAGACTTGACTAGCTAAGGGGAAAAGAAGCAACAATCTGAGCTTTGACAACAAACTCACTGTTAATCATAACAATGTTTGAGATTTTCAGGTGGACTTCATTTCCAACTGGGCTTACGAGAAAATGAGCTCTTCAGCAGAGGAGCAAGAGATATAGTTTTAGAGTGGAAGTGCACACAAGACCATAATTAATTAGCTAAATCAGCACAATTGAGCAAATAAACCAGTCTTTATGACCTGGAAAAGAAAGAGATGGGTCAAAAAAAAGCAGAGAGTTTCTACCTGAAAAAGAGGACACAATAATGCTCAAAGGTTAGAAATTTTCGAGAAGCAATTTAAGTGCCAAAAAAGTTGTGTGTGTGTGTGTGCGTGCTAAAATATCTTCAGGCTTCAAACACTACTATAACTCACAGTAAAAGATTCTGCCTCTATAAAGCTATGGATTTAAGACCAATTCAATTGCTGAAAATAAGGCAAGATATAAATGAGCAGGATTCCATTTTGTTATAGGCCAAGAAAATGCAGCTATTTTTAGTGTTGACACTTAAGAGACAAAAGCCTAACAAAACAGAGGTGATGAAGATGAAGGTCGCTTAGAGAGAGAAGGGAAACGATGTAGAGAGTTTTGCAGGCTGGTTTTTGTAGTGAATGAAGCACTAAACATGAGTTTATAGCAAACTAGTGTGACCCCAAAAGGCACTGAGTGAAAGAGAGAGAGAGAGAGAAAGTTAAGGAAATGTAACAGAAACTAAAAATAAATAAATAAATAAATTGTATTTTTGGAGAGTGGAAAAAAAAAATGAAGAAAAAATAAAAGTGAGGGTTTTTTGCTTTGCTTGCACTACTATGAGGCATCAAGTTTACGCCACATAGAGAGCAGCAGTACTGTGAATGTCAGAGGGTATGTGCGTGTTTGTGTGTGTATGTGAGAGAGAGAGTGTGTGTACGTTTTTTGGAGAGGGACACAAAAGAATTCTTCAAAAGAAAAGACCCCTGAAAATAAATATCCAGCAAGCTAAAAAAGTGGAAATGGGTAAAAGAAACTGATCAACTTTGTGTAAGCAAGTGGAAAAGGAGGGGCTTTGGTGATGATGATCATGATAATAAACTTCAGTCGAAATACTTACTCGGTTTGGAGAGGCAAAAACATGTTGCTATACTTGACTTCCTTCTCAAACTTTACATTGTTCCTCGGGTTGTCGTTAAATTAACAGTGTCCATCGTATTTCTTGTCAAGCTTTTTTATATTTTGGTAAGAAGGATTGTATAGGGTTATGACATATATTGGTGTTTTAAATTTTGGGAAAATTTTGTGTACAACATTTTTTTTTTTTTTTTNTCTAGAATTTGCAACCTAAATATATATTTTTTTTCATAATTTAAAACATGTAATATACAAAAATTACGTGTATTGTTGATTATCGAAAGTGTTACTATTCACCGCTCCTATATTACTACGTACCGCCCCCTTGAGCTATTTTGCCCTGTTATGTTTTTAAAAAACTAACATGCTAATTCTCTGAAAGCAGGCGATTTCCGACGAGAAAATGTCGTCCGACGAGGTGCGTTTTTTGGCTGGCTGACCGGCGGCGGCCGTGCTCGATCTGCGGCCGGCCATTACCTTGGTCGCCCTACACCGCCGGTAGGCCGCAATCGAGTGCGGCCGAAATCTCCGCTCAGCCAACCATTTTTTTTTTTGAAATAGTAAATTTTATGTATGAAAAAAAAAATGTTAGTAAAAATTATTATGTTATAAATTAGACTTGATTATCTTTGTAAATTAGAGTTTATTATAAAATTCGTATAATAACCATCATAGTGTATTAAAAATGACAATTTTGAGTTGTCATTTTTAGTACAACTAGTATGTACATCGTGCGATGCCCGGAACAGAGATATTAAATGAGTTAATTTTCACAGCGTTAAGTTAAAAAAAAAAAAGGTTATAATCTATTTTTCACCTCTTTTAATCAATATTATTTTTTTTAGCCAGAACATTAAATATGAGCAAGTTAGGGCTAACTTATAAAATAATTAATATATTATTTTACTAACACATTTATACTATTACAAATTTGATTTTAGTATATATCTTTATTCTTTGATATAAGAGAAAATCACAGTTTTACTTATTCATGTTCACCATATAATACTTAATATTATTTTCTTATAAACTGTGTTGTCAAATAATGTCATTATTATTTATAAAAGTTTTAAAAGTTTTACGTCTTTTTTCTTTATTTGATGTAATGAAAAATATTAATGCACGTTAATATTATTTATTTATGTAATCAATTTAAAATATGTAAATAAATTTAAAATTAAATAGTATATAAATATTTCACAAAATATACACACGTGTGTTTTTAGAATTTAATTTTGTATAGTAATTAAACAACATTGATTTAACAAATGCCAAAAACTCAATCTCTTCCATAATCAAGATTTTTCTTATTCGCAATATAAGCATTTATAATTTATTTAGCATACTCTGCAATGAAAATATATTTTCCAAGAATATCATTATAGAAAGAAATCAAAATAAAAAAATATGATAAAAAAAAAATAATCATGGTTGTCAATAATAAACAAATAAATTCTAAAGAACAATTAATATATTTCAATTTTAATTTGTGACCAGTAGTAAAACTATTTAATGTATTTAGTCATTATCTCTTACATGGTAAGTTATATTAATTTGAATAATAATTTATTTTTTATATATAACGAAATAAAGCTTAAGAAGAAAATATATTGACAAAGATTAATTCACCAACTTGATTTCGCCTGATTAATTGGAAGAAAATATTCTACTTACCTTGTTACGATTTTCTATGAATATTTTTGGATAAAAAGTGAATATTTGTGAAAAAAAAAAATATTATGGTTAGAAATTAAAATATGTTGTAATATTTATCTTGACCAAAATATTATCAACATGAATCAGGAAAAATAAATCTTATAATTTATTATAATGAATATTAATGAAATTATTGCAGATATTAATATTAATAAAATTATTTAAGGAAACAATATTTTTTACCATATCTTATTTGAAAATGAGTATATAAAAGCAATTAATGTATATATTTATTAAGTTTCCAAAAAAAGTATACATTAAATGCTCCCAAAACTTTTTACTACTATTTTTAGTAAATGATTATTTTTATTATATATATATAGATATGTTTTTTTTTTTTTTTTTCGGAACGATAGAAAATTATATAGATCAAAATGCACAAATGTGCAAATTACAACCCCTAGTTGAATATAAACAGCCAAAACATGAATAAACTGGGAGGCCGGTTAGAAGACCGCCTAGAGCCGACACTAGCAACACTGGAAACCAAAAACAAGACACTAGAAAACTACTATTCCAAAGCTCCCAAAAGGACAATAAACAAAAAATGATCCCAAAGGAATAATAACTGAGGCCAACGGCCCAAACAAAAAACATGACCTAAAAAACAAACCAAAACTAAAAAAATAAAATAAATGGACTAAAAACAACAAAACGAGCCATTCCCAAGCAGCTAGACCAAGCAGAGCCAGTGGATCAGGTTGACCCAGAGTGTGTCCCGCAACCAAAAGGACCAACTCGAAACTGCCAAAAACCAACTCGGTTGCCTAACCGAGGTGAATCCAAGCCCCGGGACATCAACCAAAGCCAACACTCACCACGTCCACAACACCCAAATTGTCCCCGAACTGCCATTGAACCGAACCCTCTAACACCACTAGCAAAGTTCGACAGTACCCGGCTTGCCCCCAGAAACTCAACTCAAGAGAAACATGGGAAGAGCAAAAAGTCGTGACCACAACCTCATCCCCCAAATCGGTTGAACGCCGCCGACAACCCTCCTCACTACCACTGCTCCACTCCATCCAACAACATTGTCCGGAAAATGAAAACACCGGTCCTCCCTGACCCAACACCAGAGTATATAGGGGAGGGGCAGCGAAGTTTTAGCCGCACTACCCAAACGCCACAACGACCGAGTCCCACCCCGCCCACAGAAACCCCGCTCCGACCACGTCCACCACGACTCAGAGAAGCCGATATCCTGAGCTCATAAGACTGCGCCTGAAGGACGAAGACCGCCCATGGAAGACGAGAGCCCTCTCAATCGCAATTGACGCGACTGGTGCAAGAGAAACTGAGCAGGGTCCAGGTAGCTGAGGGCCGACCGGCTCAAGCTCAATTTCTACTAAGGAAGGCAAAACGGAGTAGGGGAAGGAGATTTACGGCGGCGGATTTAGGGTTCTTTTTTGCAGAGAAGAAAGGAAATTTGTTGTTGTATACAATATGTTGGTTATTGTACAAGTTTTGATAAAAGTGACCGTTCTTGATAACGCTCTATATGATAGATTTATAAAAAAAAATATAAAATGAACAACATAGTGCATTAAAAATGAAATTTAGCTCATTAGTTTATACAGGTCCTGTTTAAGTGTAATATAAAATTTTATTTCTAGTTTAGAATTATAACATGAGAACCATGAAAAAGAGTACACATATCAGACATGCAAACCTTTTGATCAGTGTGTCATAATGTCACTCATGATACAGTTCCAGCTATAGTTATTGCAAAGCTACCCACAAAACCTCCTTCATTGACCAATATCTCTTGCAACTCTTGTGATCATTTTATTGAACAATTAACACTGCTGATATTGATTGAGAAAAATATATACAAAAATACTTCCATGATTTTTTATAATTATAAAAAAAAGCTAAATGTGTATATGTTCAATCTTATAATTAATGATTTTTTCTAATTCTTATATATATGGATAAATATATGTATGTATATGAGAAATAATTGGTTATCCATCCATTGGTGATGTAAATGATTATTAAATATAGAGTGGTGCAATGCAAGGACACAGGGCCAGCTTTGAAAAACAGGTCTTTTAGCTGAAAATAGGAGGTATGGCCTGATGGGTTATTACTTCTGTTTACAGACTTACTGAGGATAGAATGTGGATGATTCCTTTTACCACAACTCTATTTGATATTTTGTTGTACTCATTAATTACTTTAATTACTGTTTAAATATATATGTATATATATATTCTTAAATGCAAAAAAGGGAATATCGTGCATGTGACAATGATGTCCTCTTGGGATTCAAGTTTGTATTTGTACCATTTCATTTCATCACATGAAACAAATCAAGTATTCTTCCCTTGGTGCACAGGATTAAATAATTCGATTTCCATGAAAATTTCATTTGAAGAATAAGTGTATTGATGTAATTAATGTCACTATTCTAACTAAGAGGAAATAAGAATTGAACCTAACTTTACTGATCGTCCATAGTTTAAATTTTAATTCGGTATGCCTCTGCAAATATTAGTTAGGTGGTAAATTAATACTATCTTCCCAATTCTGAACATCTTTTAAATCCAATGTCATAATTAATTAATTAACAATATTACCTACCTGGCCTGCGGATTGAGCCACTTAAATATCATTACATGTAATTTCTCCAAGATGCAAATGTATGTAAATAGATGATAAGTAATAACTCGTGAAGCTGCATTTAAGAACAAGTAGTTATGTCTTAAAGTACGTATTGTCCTCCGTCAAATATATGAGTTGCGTGCATTTATTATTACGACTATTTCACAATTTATATGATCCAAAAGTTAATGCCAAGTGATTAAATATGAGAGTAATGCTACATTAACAACTTACTATATAACTAGGTTGACAATATAACAACTTACTATATAACTAGGTTGACAATAAAAGTGAAAATATTCAAAAAAACTAAAAAAACAAAAAAAAAATGATACACAGTCAACCTAGTATACAACTAAGTTGACAACACAAGTGAAAACATCCACTTGTGTATTTTTTTTTTTTATTTTGTAGATATTTTTTACTTGTATTGTCAACCTAGTTGTACACTAGATTGACAATGTAGTATTTCACAAAAAATAAACAAGTGGATGTTTTTACTTATGTTGTGAACCTAGTTGTACACTATGTTGATATTGTAGCATTTTTTTCTAAACATGAATCATTCATTTTCTGTCTTCCGAATATAAACGACCTAGTATTTTTTTCACAGGTTTATCTTATATATTATTTTGATATTGAACCGCTTAACAATTACATGTGTCAATTCGACAAATTAATTGAAAAAGAAAAATATTGCATAATGCAATATTATAGATATTTATTATTTTTCAATAATGGAATCAATAAATATCTAGGTTTTCTAATTTGTATTTCCATTATATTGATTTGCTTTAAAATTATGGCCATTTTACTATTCGAACATGGAAGTGGACTTCTCCTATTGTAGAGTGTGTATTCTCCCATTAGAGGGTCTTTTGTGTGTTTGTATGTTGTGTTGCGGCATCTAAACTATTTTTGGTAGACCTTTCTCATTGAACTATTGAATCAATTGTAATTGCGTGTTCTATTAATACATTTTATCGTTTCGAAAAAACAAACATGAAAGTGAACGTTCCGCAAAATTAAGATATCAAAATTCTGTTCTATGAAGGAAAAAACAAATAAAGTACTTAGCATATCCCCGTGATGAGTATATTCTTGATTTTCATTGGATTTCTTTATATAAAGTAAATATAATTCACAGAAATCGTGTTAAACTTATCCCAAATACTTTATTCCTCATTATCCCGTTCCTTTATTCCCCAATCCACCATACCTTCTAATTTAAAGACTCTTTGCTCAGCTTTAGTATTTTTTGTCCTTGTCCAAGTCAATTAGATTATTGTCCATCACTGTTATTTGGGGTACATACTTGCATACTGGGCTGGTAGGAGCAACTGAATAATTACTGTATCCAGTTACCATGCCTAAAAATATTACTATAAGGATGTGATTATACTATTTAATAAATGCTACCATTTAATGGTGACGTGTGTCCGTTGTTTACAAAACTAGTAATCATCCTGTGCACATGGACAGATAAATAAAATATTATAGGTAATATGTGAGAATTTTAAAATTATTGATAATGAAAATATTGTATTTTCAAGATTTGATCATTATTAAAATAAAAAAATATAACTATAAATTATTTAAGTATAAATCACTATATTGATTGAAAAAAATATTAGTCATGTAATTTTTACAATTTGGAGGGATCGTGATCAGGAATTTAGTTAAGAAAAAAAAAATATCATAATCATCATCATTATTATTATTATAGCAACAATTGTTTATAAGATTTTATAGTGGTTTGACTATGTTATTAAAAGTTTAAAACTATTCAGGTAATTTATTTTCAAGAAAGTTGTTTCATGAGATATAAAAAAAAAAGATAATATATATTTTAGAATAAATAGCTTGAAGAAAAAAATTTACATTAGAATTATTATACTTATGTAATTTCTATTTAGTGTAGATTGTTATTAGTTGGTATTAGCATTAACTATTATATAATAATAGTAAAAAGTATATTATTTCACTTATTAGAGTGAATTAATGTGAAAAGTAAAAAACTAATAATGATAAAAAAATTTAACCGAAAATGGAGGGAAACTAAAAATAATTTTGTTAAATGCATTGCTAGTAATTATATATATATATAGGATGTGTTCTAAATGGATATAGTCATGTATTTACTGCATAGGATTAATGTTAAAAATATTTTATTTGGACAACATATAAAAATGTTGGTCGAAATGAACGACCTAGTTTGAAAAGGTGAGTTGGCGAGTTGAAGAGGTGGATCGAGCTGGACTTTTAGATCAAGTCAAAATGAACGGGTAAAATTAAAAGAGGCCAGCTGAAAAAACAAGACAGATCAACCTTGGCTGTTGGATCTTGGTTGAATTAGACGGACATGATCAAAATGGTGAGTTGAAGAAACAATGCATTTTCGACCATTTGATTAAAAGGTAATCGAATGGTCGTCATTAATGGCATTTAATGGATACATTGTACGAGGACAACACGGACTGCGAGGCAATTACTTCGATAGGACCTTTGGACTAATTGATCTGACAAGTGGCAGAGATTTGAATTTCAAAATTTGAATTCAAGGAAAATTGGATAGCGTGGTCGATATAATTGAAGTAGGAGCTCCACAAGCAAGACCAAAAACTGTCGAATCTACTCTTGGCCCTTGGGTCGAGCTATTCTAACTCGACCAAAGTGAAGAGATCAGATGATATGTAATTCCATATTGAGTCGAGTAGACCCGAGAAACCAGCCAACTGGGTCGAACGGACCAATTGGTCGAACGTAGCTACAGGTCAAACAAAGAGTCTTCGGGTCGACGAGGAAGCTGCAAAAAGAGGTGTCACCGACGTGTCAAGCTAAGGCCTTGGACGGTCTGATAGAAACTCGACTTGCAGGTATGCTTGTCGAAGGACTGACCTACAAGACAATACACGAGCCTGGCGGGGACGACTTACCTCATGCTGACAAGGATTTAGTCACCGTTATAAGAAAGACTAGTGGATAAGGAATATAATCAGGAATTAGCACCACATATGGATTAAGCCACATGGTTAACAAAATTGAACAGTACGTACAAGTAGTTCGCGCAGCTAGGGCAACTCACATGAGCAGGCTTGAGCAACAAGGTAACACCCCTTACATAAGGAGGTGAGGTATGTCATTTCACTCTCTACACGCTCTAATATACTTGAAAGTTTATACAATTTTTTGTTATTGTTCATCGTCTTCTCTATTACTATTTACTGACTTGAGCATCGGAGTGCTAAAGCTGAGAACACCTCCTGGCTCTTTTTGCATGATTAGGTCTTTGAACCGGTCAGAACTTATATCCAGGTCATGTGAGCCACGTCGAGGTCCTTTTTTTCACACCAGTAGCGTAGGCCACTCAAAATTTATACGGTACCACAATTTAACGTAAGAAAAAAGTAAGTAAATTACCAGTCCAATACGAGTGTTTTCTAGCAGAAAGGATAGCACTATTCCATTCTCCACTGCGAAATTACGAACTAATCAACAAGATAATAATACAAACCAATCCACTACATGTCTCCAACTTATAAAATTCGTCCGTTTCAAGACCTCATCCAGAATCGAGACATCCAAAAACACATTTTCTACCACCGAACATGTAGCACAATTCAGTAGGTCACGACAAACAGAACAAACGGATAAGACCAGTTCAAATTTGTCACATTCTGTAAACATTTTTCAATGAGGCTTTTATGTTTTTTGACAGTCACTTCTTGATAAACATCTTTCTGACGTAGTTGGATTTTGGGTTTTCATCACCTGTCTAGTCGGTTCCATCTGGCACAGGTTTGGTGCGTGCGCTCCAGCCGAGAGGTTTCACATTTCTTGGCACAGCAAATGTGTTCTTACCCTTGAGCTGGATGTCTTCATCACGCTTCGCAATGGACGGTTCTTTCCCAGAAACCCCAATTTGTTTAACAGCATTACCTGTGATCAGTGGGTCAGGCTTTGGTTTACAGAAAAATGACGGACTGAAGTTAATAATAAGAGTATATCAAATATCAAGAACTCACGAGTTGGGAATCACTGAGGTTGTGGTGTAGTGTTATTTGATTTAGTTTCACTTATAGGAATCATAATAACTACTTATAGAAACGCGGGAAGGATAATTTTACTTCGCAGCTACAACTGAATCTGTTCTAGAGTAGTTCTCTTACACTTTGTTCATGCATAATTTGGCTTTAGAATTTTGTATAGTAGATTGTCTGGCAAAAATTACAAGTCCAGATTTTGTATACTTGGACTCGAATCCAGATCACAGTATTAGATGTACTCCCTTCGTTACCACAAAGATAGGCGTGATTACTATTTTAGTTTGTTCCACAAACAGGCATGTTTCCTCAACTAGAAAATTATACCCTTTACCCTTTTTTTATTTGTATTGTGATAAAAAAAAAATTAAATCATAAAAATGTATTAACTAATAAATAAAAATATAACGGATGTACAAGGAAAGTACTGCTAAATTTTTTCATTCCACCACCAGCAACAATTGATGTTTTATTAAATTGTGTAAAAACGAAGACAAGCCTATCTTGGTGGGATGGAGAGAGTAGCTCTCAAGGGAAAACAGGTTGAGGACAAGGTAAAGTCGACCAGCTAAAAAAAAAATCTACTTGTAAAAAATAGCTGATAGGCACTGATGCAAGTATTGGAGCATTGTAAAACAATAGATCCAACATGCTAATGTCAAAAAACTAACCGTGCTCTGATCTATTGTTACGTCCAGCGACTTTTTTCTTTCTGCCTTGCTGGGGATCTGACTTTAAAATGCTCAATCTCTTGCCCATCAGGGTCTGTTTGTTCTTCTCCAAAGCCCCATTAAGGTGTGCATCGTCCGAGAAATCTACATATGCTAGTCCCTTCAAAAAACATTTACATACAAATAACAATATGACTTCTTAAAATCATGTGTACATGCAAAAGCACAAAGTACAATAATCTGCAAGGCTCTCTCTAAACTTCCTATACACCAATGCAGAATTAGGTGTAGATCAATGTAGATCAATGCTAACTTGTTTATTTTCCTTTTTCATCAAGTGGGACGAGGAATTTCTTTGCTTGTTTGTTAATCATCATGATTCGTGCATTATGTGCTTTGAGATTTTCTCTATTCGATCTGTTACAGAGAGGATTTCTAACATAGACCGAAGTCCTAACATACACAAGAAGCAATATATCAATATTTTGCACTAGTCACAGCCCAAATGTCAAATAAATAAAGATATTACAACCAAAAAGACAAAAAAGATAAAGAAACATAGCAATAAGAAACTAACTTAATGAGGTCCTTCAAATATAGTGATTTAACAGGGTCCTATGTGACAGGCATAACCCAGCTGAATCCATTATAAGGTACCAAGAAATGGAAAAATATGAAAGCTCAATACTGTGCTTCAACAAATGGGTCTCAAATGTATAAGGAACAGTCACAATTTCTTTATTACTAAAATAGAAGATACGGCTTCAGATATCATGTGGCAAATGTAGCAAGAATAGGAAGTGTCACTCAGTAGTATAAGTATCACCAGTCTTAAAATAACAAAGTTCTCAGCTTAGTGGTCCAATCAACATAAAAAACACTCATTTGGTTTTCTTAGCAATGAAGAATCTTCTTCAACTTCTTAATCGCTCCCAAAAAAAAATGTTATTTGGTACCGTCAAATAGGATAAAAATAATGGATTAGCTTTTCAGTACAGAAGAATGCATAAATCACAAGAGAAAATATTAAAACTCCACATCTGTTTATTATGATGTTATCACATTCATAAAATTTTACACACTTTGACACAAGCTCACTTTACAACCAAAGATGCCAATCATATCTCTGGTACTTACTCTTGATTTTTTGGTGAACTTGTCCTTCACTATTCGAACATCAACAACTCCACCAACATCAGTGAAGAAATTATAAAGATCATCCTCAGTGGTCTGCAGAAGATAAATGTAGAAACATTAAGGAAATAATTATTTCTCATAATCTGATGTCAACTATAAAAGAAAGTCATAGAATCAACATGCCTTGAGGTTTAGATTAGAAATAAAGGCTGTGCATTGATCATTGAATGTAACAGGTTTTTTAGAGGATTCATGCTTTATGCCCTGGCTGCTACTCTCAGCTTTTTTCCCATCTTTTTCAACAGCTTCACTTTCTTCAGCTGAGTGCCTTGCCTGTTCTTTATTTCTCTCATTTGATTTCTTTGGGTTTTGCGACGTATTTTTTTTACGCTTAGCGGGAGGCTGTTCATTTACTGAGCTCGAAGTTGGTTTTCTCTTCTCATGGGGATTTTTCATTGAAATATTTCCCTTCTCATTCGTAGCCAGGCCAACATTTTTACTCTCTTGCTGCAACCTAAATAGTTGCAGCTCTTGAATGCGAGGAGCCACCTACAAAAGCATGAACACGTGACATGGGATAGACAAAAAATACACCAAATCCGAAGTCCTCCCAGCAGTTGTAACTAAAATTTCTGACTCACAGTGTAATAAGAATATGGAACTCAATCTAAGATAAAGAACAGGAGTACCTTCTGAGCTGCAATATCGAAGTGTTCCAATGAGCCATATTCTCTCTCAAAGCGCACCCACGAATGGCAGATGTCCTGAATGATTCTGTTTTTTAGGGAAGGAAGATATCATCCAATACAAGGTATAACATCTACCTTAATCACATCAAGATAACTTCAAAACCAAGTCAAGGTAAAAGTCACACGAATCAGGTGAGGCAGTTAACTATATGGGGAACATCTGAAGCTAATCAATTTTCCACTTTTCCCTTGAACCAACATGTCTGGTCTAGTTACTTGTTAATTGCTAGAAATGTAGTAGCTGAGATTGTTAAAAAACAAACATTAACCAACTGTAGCTTGTTAAAATGAGACATCTATAGTGTATTTGGAAAATCCCTTATTCTGAATAAATCATTAATAATCTATCATTAAGTTTTTTAAAGGGGAGCTTGATTATTTGTAACATAGTAAAGAAGTTCATCCGGATTATATAATGTGAGAATAGAAATCATCATCTCAACATCATAAGTTCAAATTCAGATAATTTGAAACTAATCAGTTTTCCAGAATAAAACAAGGAACATCTATTCTCAGTCTACAACTTAATGGTTAAGTGACACAGTCATGGTTTGAAATATTAAAATAAACAGTCTCAAATCCATATACAACATCTCATGTCAGTTAGGATTTTAAATCAAAGTCATTTTCCATCTCATTTCTTCGCCATAAAGATAATCCAGGAATCCTGAAACGCTCTTAGTAGAAAAGGCGTGGTGAGAATCATTTGGATGACATTCTACTTATAGACGTAAAATTCCCTTGACAATGTCTATTTCCCACCAGGAATAAAGCATATTTAAACATCTCTAAGACTAAGTGAGAACAATAAACCAAGTCATAGAAAGTGGAGTAATCTAAGATTTTCTTTTATGATGGAACAGAACAGCAGTGTGCGTCGTTAACAAACAGAGAAAACTGATCTGTTGCATCAAACATTTTCGAACAGTCAAAACTTTTGGAATTGGTTTGAGAAGGACTTCTGTTAAACAGCCAAAATAAATAGTAATAGCTGAGAAACACCTCTGATCCAGTCCCAGAGAATCGTTTACTGTAGCATCGCTTGTAGAGAGATCTGGCTTCATTTACATGGCCCATCTCAATCTCCCAAGCTATATAAGCTAGCCAAGCTTTCAGCATCGACCCACTGAAAAGTAGTTAAAGTTCCATGCATCAATGCTTAATAATCACGAAAAGTAACTAAAGATCTACACATTAAATAACCTATATATCAACGCACCAACAAGAGGGGGAGAAGAGAAGAAGTCACCTATTTTTAAGCAAGCCTTCCCAGACACCGCGAGCTGCATTCAAATCCTTGCCCAATTTGAACTCTAAACGAGCCCAATAACTATGCATGCGGAGTAAACTGTCTGTGTTGCTAAGGTGTGGGGTCAAGTAATCTGCTGCACGCTGGAAACCCAAAAACAAATGAATTAATTGATGTTTGGGTATTACAAATAAGACCAATGAAAACCACAATAGCATTCAATTCTGGAACATAGCACATCTATCAAATTGCACGTGCAAGCATAATCCATTTACCAGTGAAACCGAGGAAAGTCATATCCTCAAACATCCCAAATTAACAGAAAATAACTGCAAACCTTAGGTATAATTTTCACATTGGGTAGTGCAACAGAACATTAAATATATAAAGGATTCCAGTTCATCCTGTGAACTTCCTTGTTTCAGCGTGCAGTCCGAGCATCTAATTAGTTACGCAAGAAAGCCCTTCTCACGGAATATGGTCACTAAGAAGGGTATTTTATGCCTATACATGCATTGATGCTGCAAACTTTTTACACCCCCAATAAATAATGCATTTGATTTGCATATTCTCTTTAAAAGAAAAAAGAAAAAAGAAAAACTTAAGCAGCAGATACGGTTGCTCCACATTTAATAGTTTGCTTGCACGTTGTTTTAGATGCTAATATCAGGCATTCAAAAAGTTGACCTATTAGATAGAGATGATATATATGCTCCAATTGGGGTCGTAATTGAGTAGCACGAGTGCTGACTCAAGAAAATAACAGAATCAAATAACTCCATTCTCAAGGAAATCTTTATACCAAAATATATTACAATAGCCAAGTAAATTAATAAGTTAAACAATGTCCATTGATATTTAAGGCAAAAATAAATAAATAATAATAACATCAATTGATAATTTAGGCAAAACAAAAACAACCAGAATATCAACAACGTTAAGAAGCCTCTGTAAACGTTAAAATCAAGATTTATGGTTTGAAACCCCAACAATCAGTATATCATTGCTTACTGCAGGGAAAGCAATAAATACAAACATAATATGGCGAAATCAATTTTGATTCGTAAACCCTAGACAGTGTAATGGATTGTCAGAGTATACATATGTTTAAATTTTCAACCCTATATTACACATTAACCCTCTTCCTGTTCGCTACTACCTAAATCTACATGGTATATCACTAAAAATCTTTGCAATGGATCGTCAAAAGAAAGAACAAACAAACAAACAAAAAGGAAAAAAAAAAAAGGAACAAAAGCATCAAAACGGGACTCACACTCACTACATACCATCATCTTACTTATCATATCCAAAGTGGACATCACTACTGACATACAATCCATGTATCATATTTTCATCATACTATGTGATCAAATTAATTTTTTTCTTAAGAAATAAATGAAACTAAACTAAACATTTCCTCATTCTACACCCCATAAAATTTCACCAAAAAAAGGGAAATATTTTATTTAAACATGCATGCCAAGAAAGTATTAAATTAATAATAGAGTGAACCAATGATGAAAAAAAATTATGTTTTGAAGGTTCAAATAGTTTTCGCAAGTATAAGACACGACAAAGAGAATTTACAACAGCAGAAACTGGAAGGAGAATCCTCTCGATGCAATTAAAGGTTCTCGGAAAACCAACTTTTGAAAATTGTTGCATCAACCAGCTGAAGCACTAATAAACAATGAAACAGAAAACAACAAAGTTTGACAAAACAATTAACAGAACAATTTGCTTTCACAAAAGTACCGGAGTTAAACAGAGAATAATTCAAAGACATAAGACATAAGAAAAGTGCAGGTAATAACACTTGGCAAGTCCAGATCTTGTGAACCTGAAAGATATCCCTTATAACTACATAATCCTTGCTTTCCTCCGCTTCCTTAGATGCACATATCATCCTCCTTAGCCCATCTACTCTTGTAAGAAAGATATTCAAGTACTGTAACAGAAAATGCAGATCAAGTAAGAGATCTGACAACCTGATTACTGGTCAAGTATGGTAATTATTCATATGAACATAAATCCTAGTACCTCGTCAAAGCTTGAAAAAGTGCACTGCAGTGATTTTTCGAATACCTGAAATAATGATAAATGAGAACTAAGATGAGAAAAGCAAAGAGAATAAGCATCAATAAAGAAAAGATGCATAAATTCCATGGTTAGCTACAATTGCGGAATCAAACTGCCAACAAGTATAAATATCTTGCTTACCATTTAGCACACATGCAACAACACACACTACTCCGTTACAACAGAGCACAAAAGTTCACTAAGTGATAACACAAAGAAATTACGTGAATCCTAACATGCCCCCGGAAAATAGTCCTGCTAGCAATAGTTAAATAGAAGATATCAAGTAGCCTGCTAGAGTTAAGGCGTGATATATGCATACTTTTAGTAACATTATTAAAAAAATGCAATGGCAAAACTTTCTGCAGGACATGCTTTAGTATCAATATAGCTATTCGGGGACATTTACATTTTATATTTATATTGTTCGAAAGAAAAGGGAGAGTTATAAATAACGTGCACCAAGTAATGCCACATCTCAAGGGTGGAAGCCACAGTCAAGAAGAACCGGAGGGAACTCATCCAATTGATGGCTTATAGATATCAATTCCTTATAAGCAATAGCAATCTAAGTAAATATCATTCAAAACTTTATTAATATGGAAACATGAGGAGACCCATCTTGCGTGATATCTAAACCTAAATGAAGATGTTTCATGTAAAGTAGCACATTCTTAAGAATGGGGATATTTTGGAGGCCAGTAATAGCTGTGTTATATAGGATAAAACTAGTGCAGACAGAATATTCAAGTTTTCTCAAAAATAGGGAAGTCCAATTTGTATTAAGTTTGAATATATGGATCATGAACTGTTCTAAAAATCGACCTAGGCGGCCGCCTAGGCGGCGCCTCCGATTTGCACAAATCGGCAAAAAAAATCGGCCAGGCGGCCCTAGGCCCTCCTAGGCGGACTTGGCGGGCTCGGCGGCCAGGCGGTTAGGCGGGCATAGGCGGACCTAGGCGCTCCTAGGCGGGCTCGGCGGCAATTTTTCAGTTTTTTTTTTATTATTTTTTTTAATACTAATTACATTATTTTGTTCTCATGTTTTCTTTAAAATATATTAATAGTATTATTTGGACTTAGGTGTGTGTATTTATTATAAGTTGAGATAGTTTTATTTTGTAGCTAGTTAAAAATTAAAATACATAAAAAATAAGGTATTTAATATTGATTTCAAGGTCCCGACTAGGCGCCGCCTAGGCGGTCTAGGCGCTAGGCACTGGTCGAGCGCCTAGCGACTTTTAGAACACAGAAATATACCTGCCACCAACTTAGGCCACCAGGCTGCAACTAGATATCACAATTTTTAATTTCCTTTTGTTTGCAAAATCTTTTGCCTCGAACACATTATTGGCCGTGAAAATTTTCAGAAAATATCAAATGCACTCACTTATTTTGATCCTAGCCAATCGCATCTATTCATTTTTCACCCGATAATATAAAAGAATAGAAACAATGAAACATAATTACCCATTTCCTCACAAATTACACTGTTCACAAACTCAACGTTACCCATCCAGTCAGGAGTCATATCTGATAATTACAGGACTATTTCTCTATTGCAACAACCTTCTTTGTCAAGTTTTCATGCCATATTCATTCTCATAGTCTAGAAACTTATCCATTTCATGTTTTTTTCATCACATCAACAAGTAAATAATAAGTAACTGATTTCTTAGAATCCTTGATTTTACCATCAAAACCCATTTATTGTAAGTATCTGACATTAAGTTACAAATTTATCCAAGTACAAATTCTATTTTCACATTCCATTTCTCTCGAAAAAATCACCTAATCCCATTTCCCTTCAAAGTTCAAACTAATTATTTCTTGATGTTACTCTCATACCACCTGCACCTTCTCCTGTCTATCCTCATCTTACTCCAATTCCAAGTACAGAATCCATCTCACTCCAAATGACATAGGTCAAATCCCCTTAATATCTGGGTGAAGCTATGTTTCAACTTTATGCAACTCTATGACATACTTGAAAAAGGGTCTCCCTATGTTTCCAAAAGTAACTAAAAGATCGACACTAAGTTCTTTGAGAAAAAGGTGATAGAAACTTTAGAAATATGTCGACAAAGAACAAGTAACAACCCAATGCCCCACTGACAGTGAAGGCATCTACACTAAATAGCACTCTCACGAAAATGCAATGATTAATATTTAATGTCAAAATATGAGTGAAGGAGAGCCACACAAAGATCAGCCAGTAAGACATGTTAAGAAAAGGTCAACAGAAGCATACAGTTGATAACTCTTCCTGAGAAGCTTGACCACGTTCCAACGAGAGTAAATAACAAACCCACAAATCTCCTACCCATGGACAGTTTCTTGTAGCCCTGCAGTAAGCGTCCCTCACAATCTTGGCAGTCTGTAATGAATCAGCAAATGCATGTTCTTAATGTAATTTAAGGACAGTAAAATTCAAAATGTCAGAAAGTGTGTAAAGGTCTGAAAACCTTGAATGTTTTATCCAGGTACTGGGTGTATTCAACCCATAGATCGCTAGATATAGGAAAATCAGCTATAGCACGTTCATACAAGATCTGTATGCGGGCTGGATCTCCGGACGAGTGCTCAAATTTCAAGTAGACCTGCATGACCATCAAACCAATATACCTAAATTTTAGAGGTACTTCAATATTGGAACTCATTTTATAGAAATAAATCAGGTATCTGATATCATTAAACCAGACTTAAATGAATTGACCATGAAATGAGCTAGGAACTGTCCAACAAGGTGTGAGCTAAACTAGTTCATTCCAGCAACCAAAGAGAACATTCCAGGGAAAAATAAAGCAAAAAAAAATAAAAAATTGAAGAACTGAATCAAATATGGCTAACTACAAAAGACAGAAAAACAAGAATAATAATGGTGGTCACATAGTTTCCAAATTTAACATACTTTATCACTAAGAGAAGAAAGATTAATAAGGAAATTGCAATGATTAAAAAGCCTAAGAATGAAGTTACTGTCTCAACGTGAATGAAGGAGAGCTCTTCTAACTTCATAAACAAATTGACATGCTCTTCCTATTTCAACTCTTTCTTTTCCTTGTTCTACTTTTATATATACTAAATGATGCTCAGAGAATATATCTCAACCACCTTTAGAAAACTGTAACTACACGTTATGCATAGACAATAGAAACATATTAACAAAATCAATTTACAGAGGAAAAGACTGTGTAGGCTACTAATAGAGCAGTAGTCGACAGAATATAAGCATAACTATAAAATCAAAGCAATGCAATTCCAAGATGTTAGTGTGATCCATTGAAGACAGCATATATATTACATCCAACTATTAGTCCTCCAAAATAATATGAGTAACCACCGCAGGTTACATGGAAATGCTGCAAATAATAAATATAGATTCTATGTAATGTAACTGTACCAGTTAGTAGAAAAGAGCCCCAAACTTTCAGCTCATTCTTTCAAATGTTCTGTTGTACAATTATCCAGCTTCAGCACAATAATTCTATTGGGAGTTCCACATGTATCGGCTTAACCGACTCAACCAAAATCTAGATGTGTTGTTAATCCCAAGCACTCCTATCCCTTCCAGTATTTCATGAATTTTACTACTTGTATCTTAAGAGGTTACCAACAAGAGAAATGGTAGATGTAAGAAAGAAATACCGTGAATTCTTTAAGCTTTTCTGAATCATTGTCCTTCTTGGAAATTCTTTCTTCAAAATTGGCACGAGCATTCAGCATTTCTAATGCCTTTTGATACACAGAAACAACATGAGATGGAAGACCATCCAACTCACTACTATTAATATCATATGAACTCCCATTATCAGCTTCCCAGGCCTTATAAGCAAGAAGAGTTGATTGTAGGTCAGCAAGGGGAATAGACAACTGACGATGAAATAAATTTCGTATCCGCTGGATCTGCTTTTCTCTTGCCTGCAAAATAATACGTCAATATTATGGAAACTTGCAAGTATAAAACAGGAATTGCACTTGGACGCAAAAGGCCTTTTCTGCTGATTCAACATCTAATTATCATCACAAATTGGATCTGCATCCATGTTTCAAAAAGCACAACAATTTACTAGAACAGCACAAATGGTCCTAGAAAACTACATGCCTCACTCTTCCCTGCTGTTCATCAGTGGTCTGTAAGAAAGAGACGTGCAAAAGGANACACAGAAAAGAAAAGGCAAACAATAGGGGGAAACAAGAGAGCAAGCAACGTGAATATTAACTCTCCTCTTAGGGAAAAAAAAAAATTAATTCGTTCTGCGTTTAAGGAAAATTTATCAAGAAATAGATAGAATTATTTGTTTTCTTTTTTCTTTACTACAGTATATCATCACCAGCATCAACCTTCTACCTTGAGTAATGGGCGTGCAAGTGTGTCTAATGAGTAATGACACAGAGTTACAGATGGAGGCACCACTATAGACCTCAACCCCACGCAAATCTTATAGCCACAGGCCCATCTACTTGTTTTACCTTTATTTATCAAACTCTCACAAACATATTATCTAGGGAGACCATTGGGAACTGAAATTCTTTATATAGCAAACCACTGAAGTTAATATTGATCGAGCTCATTAGGTTATGAGTAACTCATTTTCGGCTACAAGATCAGGAGATCAGACTAACTCGTGTTTGCAACTAGCGAATCAAGATTTGGCTACAAGATCAGTGTTATTAATGGTGGATGGCGGTAAATGGCGGTTTGCTAAAAATCTGCCATAACCGCCGTCCTTCACAAATTTAGCATGGCAGACTGTCAAACATCTGCCACGCTATACTGCCATGGCCACCATTTGATAACACTGTACAAGATTCAAGAACCAATCTCCACACCGCAATATAATCCCCCTGAATGTTGAACTTTTAGCTGCATACAAGAGAGTATCACCCGATTTTTTACATATTATCTGTGGCATTTTAGAAACTTCAGAACAAACTGTTTAAAACAAGTCGGGCTTGAGCGCAGCAACTTCAATGGCTTTCGATTGACTCACAAAAATGAAGGGTAAAAGGAAAGATGGAAAATCGTGTGGCAGGAGACTAAAATTGAATTCAATGTCTACGCAATCCTAAGACTTCTGTCGATCAATCACATGGACCATTTAGAAACTTCAGAACAAACTGTTTAAAACAAGTCGGGCTTGAGCGCAGCAACTTCAACTGTTTAAAACAAGTCGGGCTTGAGCGCAGCAACTTCAATGGCTTTCGATTGACTCACAAAAATGAAGGGTAAAAGGAAAGATGGAAAATCGTGTGGCAGGAGACTAAAATTGCATTCAATGTCTACCCAATCCTAAGACTTCTGTCGATCAATCACATGGACCATTAGCAAAGACATCAACGTTGCCAACAAAATCCTGAATAAAGCAAGATCTAAGATATACAAAGTTGTTGTGCTCAAAACCTAGTTCCAATTCGTACTCATCAATTTTCCCTTTCACAGTAGGCATTTTTTCATAAATATGTTTACTGCATTTTACTGTATGCACTTACTACATACATGTATATTTATTAGAATAAATAATGGAATACAAATCTTACACTATATATTTACAATTATCACTGTAGCTGATAATTCGAACAGAAACTTAATGATAAATAAGCTTAGAAAAGATTGTCCAGAGCCCAGGCTGCGAAGCCAAGCTAAAACGCTAAGCAATCACCCATAAGTATATGTAATAAGTGATGACATGACATATGTTTGTGGAGAGGCCTTTCCCAGCAGATGAAAAAGATGCAACTTTTAGTGCGGGCCATGCTTAAACCATAATATAAATCCAAGTCAATAATTGCGGAATGAGATACGCATTGCATTGTCAAACACGAGCATCATCAATTTGTGCCAATCAGTAGCATGTGAGAGACTACATGCATATGAAAGGAAAACACCACGAAGTAATTATAACAATCACACTATTGCACAATGATATAAAAATTTTCTCCCAATTACACAAGGGAGAAACATCACATGCGTAGAAAAAACTAAAACAGGCAGGGGGGAAGGAGGCAGTGAAGCATCAGATTTTTCTCACCCCAGAGTCGGTCTCTTCAATGGTGAAAAGAATAGCTTGCTCAAATTCTCTGTACAATTCCCAAATTCTGTGACCTTCAGCAACATGCAACCCAGCGGCAGTGAGAGCACGCTCGAAGAGGTTCCTTGCCTTTGATATGCCAGAGGCAGAACATTCACGGACAGATGGATCATGCTCTTGGACAAAATTTAAATAGTCACACCATAAGGGGACAGACTGCACAAATAAATATATATCAATATTTAGCATGAAAACACAATATTACGAATCAACTGAATTAGCAGGATAAGGATACTAATACTTCTACTCGACAATGGAAATTTTCCATGCTCTAGTTCTCCTACGAGTAATTCATACTTTTGAAGTTAAATGATGACCGTACCACTTGATGTATTTCTTTTGACATGACACGTACTACTTTATGTACTTCTTTTGACTATGACACAGACTACTTTATGTACTTCTTTTGACTATGTAATAGCCAAATGTAATAGAAAACAAGATAAAGACCTCATCATAGCAAAAACTGCAAACTCCATGCTCTGAACCTTATATTTATCAGGTGATCTCCACTGGCACTGAAACCCGTTGCTTCAATATACCCTTTTTGGTCTCAGAAAGGGAACTTCGGAAAACGAGAGCTAATTCCAAGTAAAAGTTGGCTCACTCACAGTCACGCCCTTAATGCACTGACCTAAAACCTACTAGGAAATATCGGAACTGTTTTGCAACCTAAAACAAGCTTTATATTTTTTATAAAATTACACTCTGAAGCTTGCTACATCACCTAAGACTTAAACAGAAGTTTATAAAACATAAATTAGGGTAGAAATTCTGGATAGTTTGAAATTATTACTATTGGAGATATAGGTGTAAGAATCAACCAGATAATCAGAAACCCCTTGTTCATACAGCTTTTCAACAGCAGGAGATGCCTCCACTCTGCAAAAGAAAGAAATGAGATTAGGATAGATAAAAATAGACCTTTTATCAAATTAAAAGGTAAAATATGTGAAAACAATCAGTTCACCTGAAGAAATATTTATATGCATGATCAAAATTCAAGGAAAAAGTAAGTGCAGTATGATGGTGATTGAGCAAAAAGGCAGCATGAAGAACGCAGCGTTTGGGCATGTTCTTCTACATACCTTTATGCATTATTACTAAGTGCGTGTTTGGGAGCACATTTCAAAATGACTTTTAGAGGTAAAAAGTCCATTTGCCATACTAATAATTGTCCAGTGATTAAGTAGAAATGCACTTTTTGATAACTTGTCCATTTTCGAGAATAGTAGGAGACTTCTTGAGAAGTCCATAAAATACGTCCATTTTCGAAATGGACTTTTGCAAAAGTAGTTCAGAACAAGCAGTGGGACAGTCACATGCTATATTCGGAATATTATTGTTCAAAAATTTGAACTCGTGATTTCATATAGTATACCCGACAGCAAACTCAAAAATTAACCAAAACTTTGATTAAGCAGGTGACTAAAAAAAGTTCTCATGCCTTAGGGAGATATTACAGAAAAAGAATTAGTTATGAATTAGAAAAAGAGATATAGGATATATGACCTCGAAATAGGGGGACAAAATGTCGGGTGAAAATGTTTTGAGTACTCTGCAGAGTGAAGAAGGGTCGATGCAAGCAAGGAAACATAAAAACAAAACAAGAAAAAAAGTAATATGAACCATGCCGAATAACAAGACAGTAAACACACCCAGAGCTCAGGGTAGTCTCATCTTTAGCCCATTCCTGCCACATTTGGGGACTCAAAGGAAATAACGATTTCATTGTTTCTCTTGCTTGTCGCAGCTTCTCTATTTCACCTTGCTTCCGTAGAATTTTAATATACTACAAAAACCAAAAAGAAAAATGCCAAAAATTGCAAAGTTAGCCATAAGTTCAAACTTAGCAGGAGAAAACAAGGAAAGTGGCTGTCCAAATAAGGAACAAGTTTAGATGCTAAGTAAGTGACCATAATTCAAGCATATTAATATATATCGAAGCAACTTGCCCTAGCACCACAATTGCTATATACTCAAACTCTCCTCAAAATCAACTGCAAAAGAATAACAAATACATCAAATAATAATGAACTGTGTAAGACACTAATATCAATCAAGGAGTACAGAGAGCATTTATCCTTCACTTTTCAGGGACCCATATTTATCATTGAATTCCAAGATTAACATCACCAGTAAATCCCATACTAGGCAAGGACCTACATTTATTATTCACTTTCAAGATTAAACATCCCGTCCCAATTGTGCTATTGCTTCTTTGAAATTTGAAGTCAAGGTACTCCAGCTACATGTCACGTTGGAAAGAGACACATCAAACCAGCCTAGGAAATAAGGAAGTTGAGCAGCCAAGAAAGGACTACGGAGACTGAATTGGAAACGACAAGTATCTTTCAAGTTAGGACTTCGGCTATGGTTCTAAATTTTTCTGCTATAAATACAAGAAAAAAAAAAAAGGAAAACACTAACCAAACTATACTAAAGACTAAACCAGTTGCCTGACTACGGAATGTTTAATTAATCGCATGTCAAAAGCCTACACCTCAGAAACCAAGAACTTGATTACTCACATGAAACGCATTGGAGAACAATGAGGCCATAAACCATTGCCCATCGACAATACTGCCTTCTAACAGCTTTGATATAATTAGATAAATTTTTGAAGCCTCAGTTCAACTAAAACCTTATCGAAATTGGTTGATTTAGTGAAACCACACAGTCACAAAAAGGTGGAGACTGCACTTTAAGTCTTTAACATGCTAAAATAAATTAACTAATCAATAAACAAACAAAATCACTTGTTACTTCAATTAATGTGTGGCCTCAAAAACTAGGCCATATATTTAACTTCAGAAAAGGAATAAAAAAGATAACCTACTGGTTGAGCTTGAGTTTTCATGAGCATAACCAAGTTGCGTTCGCGAATAACTCAGTTCGAATAACAATTTTATGGTTGGTTCACAATTTTTTAGAGATTATTCATTCCTCTTTTAGTTCCACGACAGTAATGCTGCAAAATTTCACATTCAATTAACTATGCACAGACATAAAGATAGATAAGGCTTGTATGTCGTCGCTAATCACTAGCTCTGCTGTAATATATTGTACTATCAAACAAGCGAGCATTGTAACACTCGATTAACTATGTTATGTCCAAAGAGATTCAGCAGACTCAACCAATAGAAGACGTGTGTATATTTGTGTAAAGAGGTATGTATAGAAATCATTTACTTGGACGTGTGAATCGTAATCCGATGGATTATTGCTCAGCGCAGCTTCGAGCGCCTCAATCTGCGATTTGGCCTGTACTTCATCCTCAGAGTCGGAGTCGGACTCGGATCCAGAGTCCGAAGGCTCGATAGGGTTTTGAGCATCGACCATGGCTTGGTCATCGATTGCGTTGACGTCTTCTTCCGGACCAATAGGCTGAGCAGCAGCAGCTGCAGACTCAGGTTCCGCCATTATTCCCAATATTCAACCTCCCTAAGCTATGGAGGGTGGATAGTTCAAAATTCACAAACTCAATTGCTACTCACCACCCCTGTTACTACTTACCGTCTCATTAGGACAATTTGCTCTTGACATTTTTAAAAAATTAATATAATTTAAAACAAAAAATATTATATTAATAAATAAAAAGTATATTAATTAATTTATTGGATAAAAAATATTTTTAATTATCAAAAGAATAATAATTACTAAATATTATTAAATTAATTAATCACTATTTAAATGAGTAAAAAATTTCATTTTTTAATAATAATTAATTTCACTTAAAAAAGTTAAATAAAAGATATATTAAAATATATATATATATATTTTAATATATCTTTTATTTAACTTTCTTAAGTGAAATTAATTATTATTAATAAGTGAAATTTTTTACCCATTTAAATAGTGATTAATTAATTTAATAATATTTAGTAATTATTATTCTTCTGATAATTAAAAATATTTTTTATCCAATAAATTAATTAATATACTTTTTATTTATTAATATAATATTT